AAGCATATAAGACAAAACTTTTGTTATCTTCTGTATGGTTTCTTTTTTACTGCTGAGATTAATTATATTTTAAAAGAGAAGTGGCTAGAAAACACATCTCTTGCATTGCTAAGAATTTGGGATTTGTGAGGACTGGTGGCCTAAAAAAACAGTGGTTGTATACAGTATATTGCAATTCATCTTCCATTTGTAGGGCAAGCTTTACTGAAGATGAATCTGCTGAGTCCTTCAATTGATACAAATATATCCATTTTCAAAAAGTTAAGGATTCTTTTCCTTATGAAAAGTGGGCTCCAGTTATTTCAGTTACTCCTAGGTGAATTTTTGATATCTGTGTTTATTGTTTATATTCCCAGTGAGGTTGGAAAACTGTTCAGGAGAAGGTAATTTCACTCACCTGGCTTTTACTTTACATGGCTAAGTTGGAATGATTTCAGTTAGATATTTGCATAGTAAGTACAGAAAAAAACCCCCACAACCAAAAAACCTCCCCCCCCAAAACAAAAACATAAGTATTACAACATTATGATATTAAGACAGTCTTGGTTTCTAATGAGAACAATCAAATTTCTGATCTCATTTCAGTGAGTCAGTTTTAAATACTGAACTTAAATTCACATATTTTAAGTATACTCTTGAGTGGATACTTCTGTAAATCTGGTGTACCTGGGATAATAGCTGATGGCCAGACTTTTACATACAGAATGTAGGCAGTTGGGGTGCAATTGGAAATTCAGATAACCAGCACAGTCTTGAAAAATGGACACTGTTCTAATTGTGATCACAGCAGTACTTTGAACCAAAGGCCACATTTTATAACAACTTCTTTGGCATCAATCATTCTGCAGTAAATACAGAGTAGGAAAATCAAATACTGACTTTATTGTTTTTATGGCTGTACTGATTGTCCCACTGGATCAGTAGTTCAGTAGCCTATGCATTCTGTTAAATTTATAAAAGGGAACATGTCTGACTACTGTATTGATTGGAGCGTTTTATCTTGGGAAAAACGGTTTCTAAGCTTGGAAAATTTTTTTTGTCTATTAACTGTCTTATTACCATCAAACTCTTAAATAATTTTTAAGATCCTATTGCACCAGCAACAAATGATTAAAACATCAACTTTATACACATTTGTAACAAATGTTATTACAACACGCTGTAGAACTAAGTGGGTATAGTGAAAGCAAGCAGTATTATTTTAGAGCTTTATTTAGGCTAGGAATGGAGCTTAAAGAACATTTTGTGACTTCAGCCTTGCACTTAAATGCTAAATGGTTTTGTACTTGAATCCAACATTTGTTCAAATGTCTGTCTTGTACTGCTTCTTGCACATTCTCTCTTGGTCAGTTTTAATTTCATGCAGAATTCTTGTTTGCTGTTCTCCTGTTCCATAACCTTTTACATGAAAATGTATACATCTTACTTCAAAAGAGTTTTAACTTATTTTAGATTATGTTTGACCTCGGTTTGCTGCTTTTTTGTATCATTTCATGTGTAGATTTCAGTAATCAAATCAATCATTTACAATGTCATTGACACGACTTACACAACAAATAGGTCTAAGTTTCAGCTTCCCTGCTCTAAGTGACTGTTCTAAAACACTATTTCCAAGGGGATATACTTCTAAATTTATTTTCACAGATGTGGTGTTAGATGTTTTTTAAACTAGTGATACTGTGTTTATAAATCTTATGAAAGATATCTTACTATTGCATAGTATTGTACCTTAGTCTTGTTAGTGTTAATATTTCCTTTTTTTAGTACTGCCTTGGCTGCTTTTGAAATGTTTGAAGTAGTAATTAAACTATTATTTTGTGATTTTTTTTACTTCTGCTTGGTTTTTAGTATTTGAGTCCTTTCTGCTATACAGGAAGCACATTTTAAAGTGGTTCAGTTCACTGGAACTATTACTTTACAATCTGTCTGCTACAAAAGAGTTCTAAAACATCAAAGGTTATTAATTGAAAAATCTTTCATCAGTTAAACCAGTTTTCTGTAATTAGCTTATGCAACAGACTTTTTTTTTAAAGTAGCAGAATAGGCTCTTCTGTATGTTACAGTGTGGATTCTGCTGTTTATATCAGTTATGCAAGATGATGTAAACTTAGCAGTTATTAATGGAGTTTGCTATAGACAACCAACTAGAAATGCTGTAATGCACTCCTACAGTGTAGTACATTAAAATGCCTTAAGAGCAGTAATTGTTGAGCCAACAAGTCATGTGTAGGTGTCAGTAATCAAACTGGTCATTTACAATGTCATTGACATGACTTTACACATAGCAACAAATTGGTCAAAGCTTCCCTGCTTTAAGTGACTATTCTAAAATACTATTTCCAAGGGGATATACTTCTAAATCTATTTTCACACATGTGGTGTTAGATGTTTTCTAAACTAGTGATACTGTGTTTATAAATCTTATGAAAGATGTGTTACTTTTTTAGTATATAAATATATTTATAGCATAAAATGTAGTAAAGTTTTTCAAGACAGATGTAGAAAATTATTCTGTTCATGTTGTTAATGTCCAGTAAAGGGTAAAGCAACAAGAACTTAAATGGAGGGTTATCTGTTCTGACAAAATGCCCTCTCTTCAAGCAAATAACTTACTGGCTTGTGACTCTCTCTTATTTTCAAATCACTTGTCATTTACACAAAGTAAAAATCATAGTAAGTTACTAAGTCTAGATGAGGGCAGTGTGTTAAATTAATTAAACAGTTTGTAACAGAAGGCTCTGTGGTATAGTCAAACTACTGCTTCTATGAGATTATATAAGAGAAGTTATGATGACAATATACAGGCAGCTAGCTTGACTTCCTGACCAGAGTTCCAAATCTGAAACATGACTGAGGAGCATCTGTGATAGAAGAGGCTGAGAGCTGCAATTGTTCTGCCTGAAGAAAAGAACGCTCAGGAAGGTCTTACATTGTGTACAAATACCTGGTGGGGAGGTGGGTGTATGTCATGAATGATTCTTTAGGTTGCCTAAATAATCACTGTCAAAGGTATTAACAAAAGCAGGTTTAATATAAATTTGCAAAAGCATGATTTAACAAAGTTTGTTGGTGAGATTTGCTCTATTACTTACTAGATAGATGAAGCATACAAAGGAAAATAGAATCAATCTGAAGTTATTTACAGAGATTGAAGATGCCAATGAGTAAGGGAGATGCTCCTGTTGAGTTATGAGGTTCAGAGAGGACTCCGTTGCTTCTATATATGCATAGAAGATAAGGATTGTTGGTAATAGCACACTGTGAGAAAGAACAGGATGTGGCTGGAGATGGGGGCATATCGAGGTAGGGCAGCACTTTTCCAGGAAAAACGTCCTTGTTCTGGCTCCTGGGAGTAAGCACAACACAGTACAGAGCAGGTGCAGGAAAATGGCTGACCTACCCCCGTGGCTCCACAAAGCCTGGGTGCACATGTGCCACAGGACGTAGACACCCAGTCAGCTGCAGCAATGCTCGCAATCCCTCCCTCCCTTCCTAATTCATCTCTCTCTCTGTGTCTCTCTCCTCATTTTCAACTTTTCCTTTATCCAAAACCACTGGTGTGTGCTTATACTAGGTCTGGGACTAGCGTGCTAACTGTGTAATTTACCAATAAAACTTCATAAGCTTTTGTGGACACTCTGACTTTTGTCATTCCTTTCAACCACAAGCACGTATGAATCTTGGGTGCTCCCCTCCCTTTAAGGGTGGGATGCCACAGCTTTCTAAACTCCTTATGGAGTGTGACTGAGTCCAGTCTTAGTTCCAGACTTGTTCAATGGTTTATGTATTAAGAATTTGGCAGCACTTAATCGTTGACTATTTAACCATTTACAAAGTGATTCAATAGGATTTACTCAACAGTGACTTAGTTACAGATTTGACATTGCAACAGTTATACTGTACTTGCTATATTGGGTGTTTAAATCAACTCACATGCACACATGTGTGCATATATATATACAAATTTACCTGCTAAGATTTCCCTTGAGTTCAATGAAATGCTGATACTGAATGTCTTTAAATTTCTCAAGGGGTGAGGGTTGAGCCTTGAGGAGTGTGGAAGGCTATCAGCCTTTATCAGCTTTTGGCAACAGCAGTGGTCCCCTGAGTATTGCGAACTCTCACACTGGTGAGCTCTAACAGGTTTTCCACCCACAGGGAGATAACGGTCAGCCCACTGTGGCCTAGGAGAGCTCAGAGGGCCTCACTTAGGACCACTGTTTATAGGATTGCAAGATGATTGGCTTCAGTCATCTGTCACTCTTCATCCTGGCCATAAATAATTACTGGAATTTTTCAGAAGTCCAGTAGTAATAATATTGTTCCACACTGGCTATGATTCAGTTAAGTTATGGTCAGACTGTTGGGTATGGCTGATCATCTCTTATCCCTCTGTGTGGTTAGGCATCAGAAGTTCCTGTTTATGGACTGTTTCTGGTAAGCTCAAGGGGAGCTTAACTGTGCAGGAGCCACTAATGGAGGCCAAGACCTAATGAGATCATAGACCAGCCTGAGGAGGCAGCAGAAGGCACCACATGGTATAAAAGTGGATCAAGACTCAGAATTTCCTATATTTCAGTTTGTGCTCAACTGGGCACCACTATTTAAATGTAAAACCGTTTAAACTACGCATGGTCAAATGCTGGTTCAGGTTGCTCAGGGAGGTGGTGAAGTCTCCATCCTCAGATATACTCAAAACCTCACTGTATATTGTCCTCTGACACCTGCTGTAGGTGACTGTTTTAAAAAGGGGCTTGCACTACATGGTCTCAAGAGGTCCCATCCAACCTTAACTACTCTGATTCTATCTGCTATTTAATCTGCTTATTGCATGTGTGACCACCTGTAGCTTTAAACTTTTGTTAATGCAAAAAAGTCCAAAGCAAACCTATTCACATTCTGGCTTCTGAAATATCTTGACAGTTTCATTTGAAAGTTTCCTTCTTATAGTGTTGAAGGGCAAGAGTGCCCTCATAAACTGGATGAGCATAAACCATATAAGCAAAACATGAAAATTAAATCTCTTTATTTGGACAATGTTCAGCTGAACAAACATAATAAATATAAAAACGTGAGCAATTGTTTCTGGCTTAAGTTTCTCACCAGCTTGTTCTGGAATGGTGGAAGGTTCTTCAGATCTTGGAAATTTGTTGAAACTCCAGACTTATTTTATAGGAGCCCACGTCCAATGCTTGGTATCAAACCCAACTTAAACAAGTAGAACTGCATTAATACAGCCATCGTTTTCCGGATTGTTTGTTACTTGTGCATATTTCCCTAAGGAGAAAAGAGAATTAAATGTCTACAAAAGCTCGAAGCAGATCACATAGGTTAGATTTTTCTGTGTTTGCAAGTTCAATCTGCAAGTCTCTAAAAAGTAGGGACTCAAATGCATTTTGAAATCTAGATCTACCTTTTACTGGGCTATAAACTTATATTCTTAAAGTATTATATTCAGGCTGGTTTTTATAAACAGATTATTTAGAGTTCTGAGTAGAATAAAAAAAACACTTAGGTTTGCTACTGTCCAAGTGAAACCCTCTATTAAAAGAAATCAATCTTATGAAGATCATAGAATATGCTGACTTGGAACAGACCCATCAGAATTGAGTCCAACTCCTGGCCCTGCACAGGACAGACTCAAGAATCACACCATGTGTCTGAGAGCATTGTTCAAACACTTCTTGAACTCAGACAAGCTTGGTGCTGTGATCACTTCCTCAGGTAGCCTGTTCCAATGCCCAGTGACCCTCTGGGTGAAAAACCTTTTCCTGATATCCAACTTAAACCTCTCCTGACTCAGCTTCATGTCACTCCCTCGGGTCCTGTCAGTGATCACCACAGAGAAGAGATCAGTGCCTGCCCCTCCTCTTGCCCTCATGAGGAAGTTGTAGACTGTGATGAGGCTCCCCTCAGTCTCCTCCAGGCTGAACACACAAAGTAACCTCAGCTGCTCCTCATACAGCTTCCCCTCAAGGCCCTTCACCATCTTCTCTGCCCTCCTTTGGACACTCTCTAAGAGTTCAATTTCTTATATTGTGGTGCCCAAAACCGCACACAATATCCAAGGTGAGACCACCCCAGTGCAGAGCAGAGCGGGACAATCCCCTCCCTTTGACCGGTTGGTGATGCTTTGCCTGATGCCATCCAGGACACGGCTGGCCCTCCTGGCTGCCAGGGCACTGCTGACTCAGATTCAACCTGACATCAATCAGGACCTCCAGATCGTTTTCCACAATGCTGCTCTCCAGCCTATCATTCCCCAGTCTATACTCAAAACCATGGGTTGCCCCATCCCAGGTGCAGAATCTGGCTATGATACTCCTATACAACTTCCACTGAAAACATAATATGATTGTTCACACAGTTAGTCTTTATAGACTTGTGATATTGCTTAATGTGACACATAGGCATGCAAGCTGAATCTTTGTTCTGAACTTCAGCTAAGTGAATGGAAAGCCTACGATTAACACTTGAAGTTTGTATTTTTATAGCTGCTAGTAGTTGCTTCTGCTACAGCACAAACCTAACATTTAACAATGACTATAGGACAAGGTCTTAACAATACATGATGCAATGAAGACAAATCTTTTAAAAGTAATTCTGCAGTATAACTAGGTAAACTTACTTACCCCAGATAACTTTGCCCCCTTGTGTCACAAGGCCAAGCTCACTCACGTTAACCTCAATGACGGTACCCTTGGTAATTACACCAAGTGTCGTATACAAAGGAGAAGATGGATTCTTTTTTACACCAAGGATAGGTAGGCAAAAAGTGGCTTTAAGTTCGGGATGTGTCACATGTGCCTTCTTGAAACGTAAGCCCTGTTGCATAAGAAGTGTTAGAATGAGTTAATACTTGCTTTAAGCTCTCATGTCTGATCTAGTAAACACTTTCAGCATTATGTCCTCAGCTTTATGTGTTCTGAGAGACTGGATTAGAATACAGAATGCTATCTACCTACTACAGAATGTCAGACTTATTTAAAAACCTGATTAATGACAAGATAAAGCATATTTTCAGGATATAAATTTTTAATAATAGTACAAGAACAATACTTGTTACCTTGGATGGTTACTGTTCCATAAAGAAAGTATTGTAAAATATTAAATATTCATCTCTACAGCAGGTTTTATCTAGTGACTTGCACTTTGTAAAGGGTACTTTACCATTAAGTACCATAAATCATTCTGTGTCAATAAAAATCTACCCAAGGCTTCTGTGTAATACCATCAAACTAGTAATGAGGTACAATTCAACAGGCAGTCTGCACAGTGATTATTGACTCCTGTGAGGTAACAAGAGCAGGTATTCATCTGAAAACTTCACTATATCACTGAATCCAGCTTTTCCTCCTGTGTGCCTGCAGCTGTGTAAGTAAAGGTCAGGCTGGAGGTACAGCACTTCCCTCGCATACAGTCATGACTGCGCTTCAAGCTTACTTTAGCCAGGAGGGAGTCCTGGACTCTTAGAAGAGAGTTGGCTGCTACAGCTGAGAGATCGTAGCAGCTTGAAAAAGAAGCCTCCAACATTAAAAGCTATTCAAAGTACCTCTGATAAAGATTTGAAATCTCATAGTTTTAACTTCCTGACATCATCTGAGTTACGGGAATAAAAGCAGATATTTTGACACAGACTGTGACTGCAGGGGCATCTCCCCACCCTCATGCAATCAGAACTTTAGATTTATGCATGCAAACCAATAGGAATGTTCTACGTAAGCAGTAATTCAATGCATTAACATACAAGAAAGTTCCCTCACCACAGAAACTCACAAAGTAGTAAGTCTGAAGAATTATTATTTAAATGATCTTTAAGGCTCAAAAATATTACCATAGGTCGAATGAATCGCTCGTATTTAGGAGGCTTCCTAGTAAAGCCATCTCCAACAAAACAAACTTTTGTAACCATTCTCTTCCAGGCCTTCTTCTTTCTCTTTCCTGTACGAATCACTTTCAAAACTTCTGTTTCCCCTTGTGCACGGACCTTTGGCACAGGAACCTCCCATTTCCCCTGGAAGAGGGGGAAACAAAAAGGTCAGTATTCTTACATGTCACACTGCTGAGTGAAAGAGGACAGCCAAAGCATAAAATAAAATTTCCCTAAATCATAGTGGTAGACCATACTTGTCATACAACTCATAGCTACTTAATTAGCATTTAAAGTTTTGAAAATCAAGATATCGCATATGCTCACATTGTCCTAAACTGCTCAATTACTAAAGGTTTCAGGCTTTAATTAGTCTTTGCTTGTAGGCTGTTAAGAAAACTGAGAATCAGCAACACAAAGTTGCTGACATTGTTGTCACAAGTAACTGTAGGTATCCGAACTCTGATACAGTTACTTACAGCTTTTTCTTTTCTTTTCTGTTTGATCATGTTAGAGAGAACCTTAGCCCGGGACTGGCCCTCTCTGTCCAGCAGGTATGCTGGTACAGCTCCCTTGGGTGTTTTTTCATCACTCTTTTGCTTTGTATTTCTCTTCTCATGCATTTTAATGCTGCAAAGAAAGAAAACCAGTATTAGAAGCAGGAAAAAAAGGTTTATTTTTAGATATACTCTTTCAACTTAGCTTGTGCCTGCTCAAACTTCTAAGAGATATTTGTAAAAAATTGCATATTTATATATAAGAAATAATCCTAAATAATTTTCAAGGTAAACAAGTATTTCACTTAATCCAACAACTGACAGACTGCATAGTGCATAAAACCTTGCCACCTCCTGCCAAGATGGGAATACAAAACATGCATCTCTTTTAAGGAATGTCTGAATGACTTAAAGCAAACAACCAAATACATTGAGAGATGTACTTCCTCTCTGACAAAAAATAACATGCCGCTTCTCTTCTGAGATTTGATGGCAATGCTTACAAATGTCAATGCTTACAAACACTGTGTTTGTAAAAGTGGGGGGAAAAAAGATCACAAACTAGTTAACAGACCCATTATCTTTACAAGTAGCAAAGAAAAACAACTGTCTACACTTTGAAAACAACAAAACCAACCTGGTGGACAGGTATTAAAGTTCATTAGCAATGAAGCATACTATTTACAATTGTGATTTCAATTTCTGGACAAGAGATAAAATTTCCAGAAAAACGCTTGTGTTTGTCTATGCTTGATGCTGTAATTTATCCTTGAAGACAGGCCTCATGCTCTGCTCAAACACTGTGTACGTTACTGTAGTTTTTTTCTCCTAAGCATTAAAAAAACCCTGTTGCCTCTTGCCGTATTAACTCAGTGGCTGATGTGAAAGTCTTAAGTAAATGGATCCACTTTTTTGTCGTAATTACATTAGTCGCTGTCATTGCTAAGCAACACTTCTCTTGAGGAATGCCTCTAGCGGCGGAATTGTTAACATTCATTGAGAAGAGACAAAGTACGAAACGTATTCGTCGTGGCAAAGCCCCTTTCCTCCTGCCGCCTGAGTGCTATTTAAGTGTACAACGCGAGACCCAAGTAATGATTAGCTCTTTATAACGTCCTATCTCATCCCTGAAGCGTCAGGACTACAGGACGGCTCCAGAGAGGAGGTGGACACTCACGTCTTCTTCATCTGTATCTTCTCGGCGTGCCGCTGCTTGTGGTAGAGCTTGGCCTTCAGCCCGATCATCTTCTTGGCCTTGCGGGACCGCTCGTGCGCCTCCCGGCCCTCCTTCTTCCTGCGCCTCTCGTGGTAGTCCAGCCGGTACCCATAGCGCTTGCGGTGCAGCTCGATGTGCTCGTTCTGCGGCTGTGGGCACAGAGGCAGCGCGGTAAGAGGGGACCGGGGCCGGCGGGGCGGTGAGGGCGCCTCTGCCACGCGCGGGGAGGCCGCGGCCCGACGGCGGTTCCCTCACTGCGGGGCCCACCCAGCCGCCCGCACCCTCCCCGGCCCGCCCGCACCCCGCCGTCCCCGTCCAGCATCCCGTCCAGCATCCTAGGTCCCGTATCCCATTCCCCGGCTCCCAGTTCCCGGCTCCCGGTCCCCACCATGTCGGCAGCCCTGCAGACTCCTCAACGGCGAAAAGGGAGGGCCGCTCGCGAACAGGCCCCGACTGGAAACTCTCCCAGGAGCGCTTTGGTTCCTCCAGGCGGAGAGCCAGGCTGTTCGCGCTCCCCGAGGGCTTTGCGCCGGGCTTGGCGAGGCCGAGAGAGGGAGAAAAAAGGAACAGGAGAGGCCGAAGGAGCGCTTTTTGCCGCCTGGTCTGTCAGGTCGTGGCGAGAGGGGGGAACGCTGGAGGCGGTGAGGTAGCGGGGGAAGGTAGACGGAGGGCGCCTTCCGACGGCATGGCGGCGGGGCAGGCGGGGGCAGAGGCCAAAACGGGGGACTAGTGCGTCGCGCACCCCTGGCCTGGGCCGTGCTGAGGCTGCGGCGGGGGCAGGAGGTGATCGGGGACGGCGCAGAACCGCACCAGAGGTTCGTAGGGCGGCGGGCAGGGCGGTGTCGTTTTGTGGAGCGTCAGCGGGGCTCGGCCGCGGGGCTACTCTCGCGGGCTCGTCACGGGCAGTGTGAGGACACAGCGCCCGTCCCGCACTCCCGGACAGCGAAGTGCGGCGGCACCTTCGGGAGACGAGGGTGCGGCTCGTAAGATGAGGGTGTGCAGATGAGCCTGTGCGCAGAGCTTCTTACTCCTCGTTGTGAAACTACCACGGAGCATCAAATCACTGGAGCTGAACACTGGCGTCTCCTTAAATAAGTAGCAGCCAGCTTGGGCTGCTTTGGAAGCTGCTGCACTTGTGCTTTCTGTTGCAGAGTTTTTGGCCATGCTTAAAAGGTCGTAGTACTTAATATTTTCTGTTGTTTCTGCCCTACACAGATATTTTTCCCTGCAGCCTGTCCTCTTTCAAGACCAGAAAATCTGTTTTCATTTCGTTGATCTGTAATCGGTGCTCTAGAGCTTCTCTGTGAGTTAGCGTAAGCTCTGATGTTCATTATTTTGCTTTACTGTTTAAAAATTTCTTTGAGAAATATACTTAGTGTTTGTGAGCATGTATTTGTGCTGCACTGTTAAAGCTTAATAACATTATTTTTACAGATATGATACTGATTTAACTTGCAAAGTGTTAACCTGACTTGACTGGAACAAGAGTAAAATCTTGTGATTGAGTTATGTCAAAGTGATACAACCAACCTGTTTCTCCTCATAAATGTTTTGTGTGGTTTACTTACCTTGTCAGGGAACAGCATCAAAGAGTGGAGCCAGAATGTGGAAAGTTATGAGGAGAGTTTCAGTGTATTTATTGGAGTCATCAAGTTTATGCAGTAAGGTAAAGTTTCCCCAAATTTTTGTACTTTCTCTGTGAGCAAAGGAAGTACTTGAGTTACTCTGAGTAAACTTTTTTGATTGTAGTGGTGGTGGTTTTTTCTTTTTTCCTTTCCTTTAAAAGTTGGTTTCCAAACAGAACAGGTACTTTCATATTGGAATGGGAAGATGAATTTGTAATTTTTATGTAATTTTTTTGACTACTTAACATTTATAATTGTTAAATTTGTATTATTTACAAAAATAATTAGACATATTTAAAGCAATGTGGCTATTGGCAACATACTTTGATAGATATTGATAGATTTTTACTAGACATCCCAAATATTACTGGGATTGAACTTGGTTTAAACCTCAGTATGGGCATCATCTTCAAGCATCTACTTCCAAATAGCTTGTGTTTTGAGCTTATATAAATATATAACAACGGTATCTGTTCATATAGATATAATTTTTTAGTTTATTTTTGTATAACTGGCAAAAATGTAATTAAATAATTAGTTATAATGATAAATATTCTATATGATTCTTTTTTCTTCCAAGCAGGTGTATTTCAGGAAGACAAAAATGAGAGTTGTGAGTGTGACACAGCAAAACTGCAGTCTGAGAAACTACAGTGCTCCACCAGGTATAAGTTAATTATCTAATCATCAGTCCAGATGAACATCAGCATTACAGTTGTCTTGAACTGAGACATGCATCTGCAGAGTAAGATGTTACTGTGCTGATGATACTTTTCTGTGTTGGCTTTTTCCTCTTGTTTCTAAAGATTTTCTGTTTTTTTGTTTTTGAGAGAGAGATTTATTGAAAACTTAAGTACATATCTTTAGAAATTTGAGATGATAGTGATTACAGATTGTCACGAGTTGTGCCTCTGAATCTTTTTTTATTAGTAAGTTTTTTATAAGTTTTCTTAAATATGTTTTCTACGTTGGGTTCAGTCTTAAAAAATTGTTTAATTTTGTTTGTTTCCAGGAGATGTTAAGTCTCTGCGTTCTGTCATTAATCCTGATATATCCAGGTACGTCATGCTGGCTTATTGTTTGGATGTAACTGGTAGTCAGGGCAATTGATGTGATGAAGAGTTATAAGTTGTTGCTGTACCTGTCACATGTGCATGTTTAATTTAAATTTAGTACTTGTTTACTTTTACCCTTGTGACGTTTCAGTATAGAACACATGTTGGTGTCAGAAAGATCTGGAATTGTCTTGTTTACATCATCATAGCCAAAACAGGGCTTGTAGGGAAACTCCAAATCCATGGTGTTGTTGGGTGTTGAAAAAGGGAGAAGGGGTGTGTTGGCAGCTAGACCTCTGCTGTTGTGTGCTTTGTGTTCATGGGAGCACTCAGCCACATTAGACCAGGGCAAGGTAACTGGGGACTGAGCTGCCAAAGAAATATCCTAAGGGTGAAGTTCCCTTAGAAGGCTACTTTTGTCCTGAGGGTGAGGTCAGTTGGCATTAATGGTGAATGTGAAGCTGTTCTGGAAGCTGCTGATGAGGTACTTTAGAAAGGAAGAGTTGAACAGAATCAAAGACAGCATCACAGGAACAATGGATGCTGTATTTGGAGCATAAAGGAAATATATGCAATGGATTGTTTGGGGCACCAGGTGTCAGGGAGTGGGATGGACAAGAGGGTACTTCTGTCTGTGGGGAGGGCAGATGGGTGAGGATGAGCCCAAGAAGAGGCATTCCCTGAAGTGGAGCATGGAAACTTGTTGCCAAACTGTTCAATACGACTGATTTTCCACTGTTTCAATACTAGCGTCTTTCAGTATTGCAATGTACACGGTATCACATATGCAGTAGAGGAAAGATGTTATTAGTCTGAGATGTTATTCTCAGTGAGTATTAATTGTTTATGCAAATAAGAATATCACAGAATAAAAAAATTATTGCACTAAACCCGATGTTTTCACTTTATGTAGAATCCGAAACATTGGCATTATGGCCCACATTGATGCAGGCAAAACTACGACAACAGAGAGAATGCTGTATTATTCTGGATATATAAGAACACTTGGAGGTTAGAAATGCTTTCTATATTTCAGTAGCTTTGAGAGATTTAATAATGTACAGTAACATGCAATGCAGTTAGAGGTTGCTACTGGAATACCTGATGTAGAAGCCAGTTGTTCTGAAGTTGTCCTGTGGTTTAATGGAATTTTAAATGCACACTCCATTATGTTCTAAGGCAGTTGCACTTTGAGAGATCATGGGTTCATATTTTTCTTTTAGTGCATTATGTTTTGTTTAACATTTAATTAGAGCATCTCCTTAGTTTAGTTGTTGCTCATTGGCCGTTCTGGTAAAGCTGTTTCTTCAGTTTTCTTTTGACCTGTAAAGAAACTAGATTGAGAAAAAGTATCTGTTTCTTTTGAAAGCCATAGCTCAGAAAGAATTCCTTGCTACAAGAACTTTTGCAGAACTTTTCAAGATTGAAAGGGTCACAGCAGCCTCTGTGATTTTTGACATTTTAAATTTCATTCCCTGTTCTTGACTATGTATGACAGTGATAGAAAATGTTAAGCTTGTGGAATGTTTGAACTTGGTGTCTTGCTTGTTTAAAAATGTGGAACTACTTCTCTTTTTATTAAAAATTAAAACCAAAATCCATAAGCAAAACCCAACCTCTTAGTCACTTTTTTTTGTTTGTTTGTTTTTACTTTGACTTTAACTTAATTATCTTCTGATCACCAAATTTTTAAATGTCAGTCGTGTTCCATGCAGCTAGTGCAGCCAGGTTTTTTAAAGCTGTAGTTTGTTCATGATTTTCGACTTTGCTTTAGTTTTTAAGATTCTCATGGTGTTACTAGGATTAAGAACAGTAAAAAGGTTGTTGGAGTTGCTAGTCTTTGACTTGCAGACCACTTGTTCCTTGGAAGGGGAGCTTGGGTAAATTACCTGACATTATACTGTTTTGAAAAAGGCTAATTTTCATAGCTTATACATATATATAAAAGGGACAGTATTTCCAACTCTCTCTTGACAACTGTATTCAAGGGCAGTTTCAGATTTTGAATTGTTTACCTACCCAATTTTGCTTCCTGTTTACAGATGTTGATGATGGAGACACGGTGACAGATTTTATGGTACAAGAGCGAGAACGTGGTATTACCATTCAGTCTGCTGCAGTTACGTTTGACTGGAAGGACTACAGAATCAATCTGATTGACACCCCAGGTACTGCTGTTATTACTAAGGGAGAGTGGGTGAAGTGGAGTGTTGTAGAATGTCTTAGTTTTAAATATGGTGCAAAATTTAGTTAGTTTAATTGCATCAGTAAAAAAGCCTATACTGAACTCTGTTCAGCTTTGGATAATTATTGTTTGCTGATGCCTAATCTAGCTTGTGTAAGGTGAGCTCAGATATTTCCACACTAAACTGTACTCAGTTCTAGGATCGCATTGTAACAATCTTGTGTATTTCAAAGACTGATGGGTGTAGTTCCCTGCAAGTAAAGAAAGAGTTGTTTTGACATGACTTAAAAAAAAAATAGTTTAAATTTGTAATAACCTGTTGATGTTGCCTGTTTGAATTATTATGGTATAAAATGAAGATTTTTTTTAGGTCACGTGGACTTCACAGTGGAAGTTGAGCGTTGCTTAAGAGTCCTGGATGGAGCAGTAGCAGTGTTTGATGCTTCAGCTGGTGTTGAGGTAAAAACAGCGGGTAGATTTTTCTTTTGTATGTGCATCTGTCACATGAAAGGGGAGAGATTCTCTCAAACCCTCTTTGTTTGATTAGTGTCTCAGTGCCCCAGGAAAGTAAAGACCCTTGTCCCTGACCAGTTTCAGTGTCCCATTACTGAACAGTCCACTTGATCAGAGGGTGGATCAACTAACTGGTTCAGGGTCACATGCAAGTGGAAATACCCCCTCCTTGGGGGGGTGTGTGTCCATAATTGGTCTGTCAGTGCCTCAGAAAAGATTCAGGGATACAAACCA